TTAGTAACAGCAAAAATCTATTAAGCACACATTAAGTGTTATGTGTGTATTCATGTTATGTATAATTTTATAATTAAGTCTTCACAATGATCCTGTGAAGTAGATTTTATTATCCCTATTTTACAGATGAGGAAACAGATTTAGGGATATGAATGTACACCAAAGTTGTGGCTTGTGAAGTCCTTTGGGGACCTGAGGCTCAGAAACCAATTCATGTAATTTTTTCCCCACAGATCTTTGCAAGTTATCTTCCAGGGAAAAAATGCCTAAAGTCAAAAGAAGCCGGAAAGCTCCCCCAGATGGCTGGGAGTTGATTGAGCCAACATTGGATGAATTAGATCAAAAGATGAGAGAAGGTGAGTGGAGGAGTTCTTGCCTCAGTGGGCTGTGTCCCAGGCTCTCCGGCTTAGATGCCCCCAGGGGCCAGGCACAAATGCAGCTACACGTGGGAAGTGACAGGCAGTACCACCGTGGCCTCCTGACGCTGACGGGCTTTGTTTGCGTATTAACTCACAAGAGCACCAGAAATGCCAGAACGTCACATAGTACTCACAGAAAGCCCTCAAAAGTGTTTTGTGGCCAACTTAAGTAAAAGTTTTAGGGAGTATAGATGCAATAGTCTACCTATAATTATTTACTCTGTTGGAGGTATATTTGAAGTCATACAAGGTACATTTACTTGGGAAAGCCTGTTTTCACTTTCACATTTTTTGAAACATTTTTATGTAGATTTTTCTCGTGAGTCTCTGATTGTTTTCATCATCACTTTGTTTTTGCATCATCTGCCAGTTTTCCAGAATGCACCACCTTCACTTCCCTCTAAATGTTGTGTGATCCTGCATTTTATAAATCAGTGTAGTGGACAGTTCGGGGAAATTTTATCTGAAGCCATAAGCATCTGTTGGCTTTATAATCGCAGTATAGACATTTACTGAATTGCTTTTTAAAGCAATCTTTTTTTTTTTTTGAGGTTTTTGGTAACTAATCTAACCTTTATTATTAAGTCATACCTCCAGCAACAACTACTAAGTGAGTTGTAAACTACTTTGCTTCCTTTTTTTTTGAAGCTGATTGCATCAGGTAGTTCTCTTAGATTCCTAGAACTTGCAGTAATCAAGGGCATTTTGGGCTAGGAGGTTTCTTCCCCAAACAGGTCCTTATTCAGAATAAAGGAACTTGGAGATTGCTGTAATAGGAAATATTTAATGAGTCCCTGAAGATAAGTCTTCCTGTTTTAAGGGATGACTTTTTGGAGGGAGAGTGTTTACATGCAAAAGGTGTGATGATGGCTATCCTAGTGGGTATGAAGTAGGATTTATTCTTTATCCCTTCTTATTAAAAAAAACCACTATATCCTGTGCAGACCAACCCTGTCTCCCAAACCAAAACAAATACATGTGTTTCCTCCCCAGCTGAAACAGAGCCTCATGAGGGAAAGAGAAAAGTGGAATCTCTGTGGCCCATCTTCAGGATACACCACCAGAAAACCCGCTATATTTTCGACCTCTTCTATAAGCGGAAAGCTATAAGCAGAGGTACCTGGACAGATTCTCTTGGCCTTTCCAACTTGAGTGGCTTTCAAATTTAAGTAGTTCTTGCAAGCTCAGGAAATGTCACTTTTCTTGCCATCAAAAAGGGGCAAGGGGGCAGTACTGGTTAAATACTTTTGGGGTAGGGTAATTAGGTTTTT